TTCTTTAGATATCCAGCTTATTTATCAGTTTCCTAGCTGCAAAAGGTAGATGTTCAGACTCTGAAAGTCGAATACGAAGGGAGGAAGGCAGCTACAATAGCGGGGTTGCCAAAGAAAACACCTTTGCCTATTAAAGGAAACTCCTTAACATGCAATCGATTAGCTAAAACTTCTTTTAGCCGTATGAACGATACTCTTGTGAAGTAGATTCACTTTGATCCTATACTTCCTATCGAACGAATTTCAGCCACACATCTCAACAGAATTGTTTGCTTTTAAAAGAATAATTTGGCATGTGAAGAATGGTATTTTAGTTTGGTTGAGTTATATATGGTAATTAATTTTTGACAATAATATATAAAAGTTTGTGTTCTAAAGGGCGGGGTTCAGGAGTGAGACGTGAAAACACACTTTAAATATGAAAAAAGGCCATCAAAATGCATTGTTTTTTTTTTTTTTCAATTTTAAAAATAAAAGAAATAATTCTTTATAATTTGACAGATGATAAGATGACATGTATTTTGACCATTGATTTGATTTCAACAAAGGTGTAAATCATTTATGTACAAATAACTTAATTGATTATAAAAATTCAGTACTTTATTTTGGTTTTTATTCAAATTATAAACAATAGCCATACACAATCCATTTTTACAATTGGAATAATCCATGTTACACATGAATTAAGCTTAAGTGGTGCCGGACTACTAAGACTTGATAACTCGATTCTCCTTTGTACTTCAACTAAACACAATTCTTGTACTCCATCACATAGGAGGTATTTTTTTTTTTAATTTTTTGTGCCTAAGGAAAAGAAACTCAAAAAGGAAAAGAAATTACAAGCAAATAAGTGTAATATTTTAACCATTTTTCGTTATGAGAAATGCAATTAAGAAGATTATCGATAGTCGCCTTACGTGACTGACATATATGTGACAATTTTGTTATTTGACGAATGAGGCAATAAAAATCTACCATATCAATACATTAAATAACAAACTGTCATGTGCATGTCACGTATGACGATTACTGATAATTTTCATTATAAATAATATTATTCATTCGATCACGATATGTGTACCAGGCCCTTCACAGGCTGAAGTGGCACACATTAAAAAAAAAAAAAAACTGGCTGAAATTAAAAAGACGGACGGTCTCACTTGCTTTCATTCCTCCAATGATTTCCCCCAAAAATTGAAACCCCCACTTCCAGCAAGTTTCGCCGCCCAAAGCCTCACTGTCTCCGGCCACTGTCAAACCACTTAACAACAAATCTCTCTCAATCTCAAGAAATATGAAGAGCAGTTAGCAGCTGAGCAACAGATAGAGGAGGCAGCCTAGGCATCTACTCCAGATGAAAGATACAATCTATCTAGACTAACAGACACCAAAATATAAAGCTTCAAAAATAAACATAGCACCAAATTGTTATTCAGCATAGCGACAGAAATAAAGAAAAGCCATTGCAAACTTTACACTACTTATTCAAGGAATCGATTTTAGCCTTGCATCTGTTCTGTTTGAAGCCAGCATAGTATCTAACAGAATATTTTCCTTCAATCTTTATACTTCAGTTCACCCTCAACTCCAACTAATATTATTACACAAATAATTTATAACAAACTACGAGGAAATGGAGTTTCCAACGAAGAAATTTCACTCATTTTTCCACCATATGGAGCAAAAATATGCTGGGGTGCTTCAGCTTCATTTTCTTGAAAAAACCCTTCATTTGAGACATCGGGAGCCAGTTTTGAGTTTCGCCGAAAGATGCCAAAGCTGTGGCACCAAAATAGACGGGAGCCAGTTTTGAGAGGGAGCGGGAAGAATGTTGGAACAAATAATTAGCTGCCACGTCTCCAAGAACTAATTTCCCTGTAGCTTTATTCTTACTTCTGTTCTGTATTTGGATCACAGAAAATTGACAAATGATACAGATGTAATGTCTGTAAATTAGT